TCAACTATAACTAATTGAACGCCAAGAAAGTTATAAATCATATTCCAAAGCTAGATGATTAGTAGTTTCAGTGTTCAGCGTGCACAAAGGGCATTTGTTAGCCATTCAAAAGAAGTTTATCGAATGACTTGACAGAAAATCCACCATTTCTATTTGCTTTACAAAAAAGACGATCTTCACTAGAATTAAGATTAATGGTAGCTAAAAGTTGGAGAAGACTTTCATATTCCTGCACTTCCCAGTCCTATAAGTTTCTAGTTATCTCCACATTTCAATAATTATCCTCATATACATTCCTGATTAGTCAATTTCTGTTCTTGGCAATGACATAAATGTGAGGGAAGCGATTCTGAAAAGATTCCATACTGCACCATCTATCCTTCTAAAAAAGGATAGTGTTTCCGTTGCCTACTTTCCAATTAGAACCATTAAGAGCAGAATCTAAACTGCGCATTATAAATTTCCATAATCTTTTTCCAAAAACAGATTTGTCCAAGTCAATAAGATCAGGACAGTTATTACCAAATCACTTACAGTCTACAACCTCCTTCCAGAGTTTGTTATGTTCACAAAAATACTTCCAGATCTATTTACCGTGAAGAGATATATTAAGAGTTACTATGGATTTCAGCCCCAATCCACTAGCAGCAACTGGTTTCTTTACCTCGTTCCAATTAACCAAATGAAATTTACGGCTATTATCATAATCATCCCAAAGAAAATGACATTGAATAGTTTCCAATTTTTTGGCCGTTTTCTTAAAAATGGTTAAAACCGATAAGTAATAGATGGGAAGATTGGAGAGGGTACTTTTTGTAAGTGTTAGTCTCCCACCCTTTGACAAATATTTACTTTTCCATCCAGCTAATCTGTTTTGGAATAACTCAACAACGGGTTCCCAGCTTCTCGTATCTTTATGATACTGTCCAAAGGGACTTCCAGATATTTAATCGGAAGTTGAGAGGATCTGCAACCCATGACAGCAGCAAAATTAGGAGAAATGTCGGCAAGTATATGATTTGAACTATGCATACCCAGATCAATAAGCTCATATTTATCAAGGTTTATCGTTAAACCCGATATTGCTTGAAAGCATAATAAGATGCACCTCAAATGAAGTAAGTTATCAATATCTGCTCTACAAAGGAGAGAGTATCGTCAGCGAAGAAAAAATGTGTAATTTCTGTCTTTTTATTTTGGTTCCCTATTGTGATGCCCTAGAACAGCCCCAAATTACTAATCTTGTCAATAAACTTGTTGAGTGCTTCCATTACAATAATAAAAAGAAGTGGAGATAATGGATCACCTTGCCTTAAACCCCTAGCAGCCTTGAAGAATTTGAAAGGTCCACCATTTATCAAAACAGCAAAAGTTGGTGAAGTGATGCACATATTTATCCAACTTCTCCATTTCCCACTAAAAAGCCCAAGTTATCAAGCACGTGATCATTGAAATTTCAAGATACATGATCAAAAGCCTTTTCCATATCTAGCTTACAAATCAAACCATTGCCCTTTTTTCTTGTAACATCATCAACAACTTCTTTGGCGATAAGAATAGCATCTGTGATTTGTCTGTCATGCACAAAAGCCTATTGATTTTGACTAATAATCCGGCTAAGAACTTTGGAATGTCTGTTAGCAAGCACATTGGAGAGAAGTTTGTAAAGGCTGCTAATATAAGCTGATCGGTTTAAAGTCCTTTAAATTTATAGCATTTTTCTTTTTTGGAATCAGAACAATAAATGTTGAATTAATTAATCTAATAAAGGAAGCGTTGTTATGAAAATCTTTAAAGAAACCCATAATATCACCTTTCACTATTTCTCATAATTCTTGAAAAAATTTAATATTAAAACCATCTGGGGCAGGGGATTTATCACCATCACAGTCTCTGAGACAATCCAGAATATCTGATTCAATAATTTCAGCTTCAAGAATGGAATTGGCATAATTGTCTAATCTGTCAAACTGTAGATTGTTAAGAAAAGGTCTAGCAGGAAAATCTTCCATAAAAAGATTCAAGAAATGTGATCTGGCTGCTTCTCGCATTACCCTCAATTTTATTACCATCCACAAGTAGTTCAGAAATATAGTTTGTCCTCCTTTTATAATTAGCAAGACAATGAAAATACTGTGTTTCTATCAATTTCTTTTATCTATTTTTCTCTAGCCTTTGCTTCCAAGAGATGGCCTCAAGGTGAAGTTTGTCAGTTAATTCCAGCTTCAGTCCATTTCTTCTCTCTCTATCGGCATTAGAGAGGCCAATAGTACCTTCCATGTTTTCCAAAAAATCAAGATCAGTCATTAAATCATTTATTCCATTTTCCTCAGTCTTACCCACCTCTTTGGTCCAAGATTTAATTTCATCTTTCAGTCTAAAGAGTTTGGTGGCAATAATAAAACTTGGTGTGCCTCTACAGTTGATAGAGTTCCAAACATTTGCAATCATATCTCTGAACTCACCATTTTTAAACCATTTGTTATCGATTCTGAATGGGCAGGGGCCCCATTGAATCCCATCATAATCTAATAAGATGGGGAAATGATCAGAAGTGGGTCTAGATAGTACCTTTTGATTTAAACTCGGGAGTTCAAGGATGAGATCACTGAAGACAAGGAATTGATCAATTCTGGAGAAAGAAGGATTATCTTTCTGTTTACTCCAAGTCCAGTTACCACCTTTCAAAGGTAAATCAACTATATTGAATTTGTTCACAAAAGCTTGAAATTCGTTGGCACAGGAAACAGAGAAATGACTGTTGGATCTTTCTTCTCTCTTGAGGACCATGTTAAAATTACCACCGATGATACCCTTATTACCCCACTTAACATGACAATCAGTTAATTCTTTCCACAGAGACTCTTTATCGGATTCCGAAGCTCTACAGTAAACTCCCAAAAAAACCATTCCACCCCATTGCTTAAGTTAACAAACTTACATGCAACTGTGGTGCCCCCAACTAGAGTTTCACAATAGTCAACGAGGCTTTTGTTCCACATCACAAGAATGCCACCCGCCGTACCATTAGCAGAAAGGGATGCCCAGCCGACTTCATCCTGATGCCAAATTTCGTTAATGGTTCTAGCATTAATATCATCCAATTTGGTTTCTTGTAAGCAAACAATTGTAGGCTTCCATCTGTCTAGGCAGGCTCTGAACCCCTCACATTCCAAGAAAGAATTTTACCTATCATTGTTGGATGATTGATACCCCTTGGCCTCCTCACTTTTCTTTCTTCTACCTTCATAATTAACAGAGCATTCGAGTCTCTTAAGTTCTCTTATCCCACCATCAAGCCGTTTTTTCTTAACCTTGGTCTAAGAAGGCATGGGAGACATTCCGCCATTTCTTCTTTCTAGAGCTGAAAACAAGGTCATCGATTGCGATTCCAGGCCTTCAAAGGAGATACCAAGGAGTCTACTGATGTTGCCAATATTTTGTAGCACCCATGAAGAATAGAACTACGCTTCATCAATGTTGACTGATGTAGAGATAGCTTCAATGTTGTTTGGTATTTCATCTGGAATTGGAACCGGGATTATCTCCAATCTGGCTTTCGCAATTGGAGGCAAAAAGTTTTCTTCAAGGAGACAAACTTCAAGTTAAGGGAAGGATAAGTGA